TTTCTGGAAATGCTTCATGTTTGCCTTCGTCAGTCCTCATATCCTCGCTTTCAATATATCGAACAATCTACAAGAGGTATCAACGAAGTTCACTGAGTTACCTATTTTGTTATTTGGTCCGCAACAGTACTCACGTATTAATCTTTCTTCGTTCCAATCGTTTTTGTCTATTGTTTGTCCCTTTTCTGGTTGGGACATCGATTGTATCGACTCCTCGTCGTTCGATTTAGCCGCAACCGCATTGGTACTTTTGCCATTGCAATCTCTCTGTTCCCGGATCTCAGAAAACTGTGTCTGTGCGTCTGAAGCATCTGATTCACTGTCAGTCATATCACACATGGCCATCATGTCCATGTTTTCTCTCAATGTTCGCTGATGGGAGCTTTTCCTTGAACCATCCTCTTCACTATCGGAAGGTCTCGCGCTGTTTGCACTTTCGGCTATGCCGGGTGCATTGTTAACTCCATCCCTGGTGGGGACCGCTGAGTTCGGGGCTGGTGAAGCATACGTACTTTCTTCCCCCGATCCGGGCTTTGCTGGCCGATGGAGTAATTTGTACTTTGGCCGCATCTTGTATCGGTGCGGCCGTCGCGGGCTTGCCATCGGTGGCTCTCCTCTTTCCATGCATCTTTTTGCTCGGCACCGCACCTCCTTGGCGCGCCGCAGCCTTCGGACCTATCCGCGGCTCGAGAATCCCCTTGGGCTTCAGGGGGAGACCGTCAGTGAACACCGATGCCAGATAGTCTTGGTGTCGAATGACTTTCCAAATCTTCTGGGTAGCAATGTGAACAAAGAAGGTGAAACACTTTTACCCACGCAAGAGGGTCGGTAAAACGCTTGGCGCCGATGTCAGCAACTTCGTCCTGCGTACGTTCGTGCTGTAAACTGACAACTCCACGGGTAAATTGTTCAGAAATGGCAGCAGCGTCTATTCGGTGGGTTCTCGGAAGGTGCATCAATTTCATTGAGCCCCCCTCTTTGATCACCTTGCGCACTGCTTGGTTATCGTCCATAAGTGTGCATGTGGCATTTCTTTGTAGCAGTATTCCCTACGAGGGCAGCGCTGGCAGAAACTCAGTCCGCAAGGCTAGATCTGCAGCAACACTCTCTGCTGCAAGTGCACCATGGGACACGCGAGTCTGTCGGCGAGAAGCCATGCTCTGATTGGCCCTCGTGCGTGGTACCCAAATAACTTGATGACTGGCACTTGCACTGCGATGCGTTCGTAAGTCGCTGGCGAGGTCTGCGCCATAAACTTGTCGCATGTTGACGTCCGCCATCTTGTCACCGACCCAAGACGTCATGTTATATTGAGCTGCCCAGTTTTATGTAACATATCAATCGAAAAAGAACCATATCCTGCTGTGCTGCCCGCTTTGTTATGCAGCTAGCCGCGTGGCAAAACGCGCGCAAGAGGTCAAATCTAGCCCCATTCTCGCCCCGCATAAGATTTGCATGAAGACTTTGGCAACAATGGGCTGCAGAACTCCCGACGGGGGCGGGGGGCCGCCTGTTCCGGGTTCTGCGGCTAGGCCGGGGACCTCGACTGGCTTGTCTGGAGGGCCTCTGTCAACGTGGATCCCGAGTGCCTCTGCTATTGCCTCTTCCACCGGGGAATATTGCTCTCCTCTTGGGCCACATTTTCCATCCTCGAAGTCAACCAACTCGGGGCCAAAAGGTGTACCAGCAGCGGGGTATGTAGCGGGGTCAGTATCGGTTAACTGTGCATGGAACGTTACACAAGACTTAAATAATTCAGTCATGTCATACTCAATGGCTCTGATCATCTTCGGCTGTCTAGGTTGATGCGGCTCACTCGGCTGTGCTGATGAGTCATCCCCCGCATTCTCGTCATCGCTCTCCGATTGTTGTCCAGGTGTGGACAATTTCTGTACCTTCGGCGGCGGGAGATCAAGGACATTTGGCAACTCTCCCTGCCACTCGGCAAACTGCGTGGATCGATTATGTTCGCACCCCAATCAACGCCCTACGTTCGTAGGTGGGTCGAGCTCTGTTCCCTTGGGGCAACCTTCGGAGGCTTCTCGCAGGAATCGCCATCCTTTTTCAAGATTCGCTTTTGGTCCAGCAAGCTTGAAATCACCAACATAAATAATAACGACTGGCCAGGGTCTGCATGTAATGAAACCTTTGAAACCACGTGTCTCTCACAATGTTGTTCCCAATATCCTCCAGAATCAGGATGTCCATAGTGGGAAGGGATGAGGGGGCAAACGGAATTTCTCATGTCTTTCCAAGCGGGCGGCCACTCGTCTTTTGGCAAGAAGATCCACGTCGCCCCCCCCCCCCCCCCCTCCCAAATAGCTTTGAATGAATGTAAGCCTGCTTGGCGTCAGCCTGTTGAATCTCACGCCCACCAAACGGGCCATGTGTATCCGCTGTTCTGCCGGCCTGCATCATTGCTGGGCTGCTAGGAAACTGTTGGAATAAGGCTGCTCCTCTGATCTCTACCATCCGACCCGTCAAGTACCACTCGGCCTGTATATCTGCGGTCATTGTGCCCCAGCGGGAGCTCTGAGTTCTTTTTTACCAAAACTGCGAACAGGCGTCCAAAATGAATCGTTTGTCCCTTTCGTTGCGGGGCGGCATCATTGTATTCCATTGCGCCTGACTCATCCCAAATGCCGATGCTGCGTAACCGACCCCATTCGGTCTGCAGGGCCCTGCGGGCATCTTGGCTTTCCGCAGCTTCAGCCTTAGACATGGGTCGAAAAAAGGGCCGCAGCAATCCGTGGTCGGCTCAACTCAGCAGGTAATTTGTTCAACGATCCAAATATCATCGGTGAGCGGGTTGCACAACTAAGATGTGTCGAAACTTCCCTTTTTCCCGATGTACGGGATGGGGTAACCCAGCCAGAAACACATGCGGGGGACGCTACGCCGCGAAGCGGCGGCCGCCGGACCCGCGGTCAGGCTATCCCCGCGAAGCACTGGCGATCCTGGGAGAGCGAGGTCCTCTTCGACTGCGCCGGGAGAGACCCCGTCTCTCAGGATCGTGCCACCGTGCCAAGTCTGTTTCCACCATCTCTTCATCATCTGAAGTACCGTAGTCATTCCCGGAATCTGCGTTTGTGGAAGGGTCCTCTGCCGGCCCCGCAGGGTGCAACAAAGCATGCCAGTCCACCTCGGTTTCTTCAGGTACAATCGCGGCCCCTTCTTCTTCTTCTGATGTCAGCCCCAGGATGTGAATTATTTTCTGGGGACTCGGACACTTCGGCGTCTTGTTTAACCTGTTGGATTTCGACTGGGCCGATTCGAATCTCGAAGAAGTGCCACACAGGGTCCCAGATCATCGATTCCAAAGAAACCTCGCTTCGCGAGGCGGAATTGTTCAACAGCTTTCCTCCGTTCGGCATTGCTCATGTTGAACCATCGGCTCGGGTGAATTCCGAGGTTTGTGGAGTTAGGTATTTTTTTAAGCAATTGAGCATCGTGCCGCGGATCAGGGTCAGTGACCCAGACTCTCGTAACAGGTGCATAATCTGGATCGCAATGCAACACAACTCGAATGCTGCATGTTTTCCGCCTGCCTTTGCACTGCAACTTTTCGGTGCGCGCAGCCTTTCCGAGCCCGACAGCCATACGCCGATCTTCGCAATATCCCAGAGTGTCTACATGATGTGAAATGCGAGCGAGAAGGTCTCCTGATCCAGGAATTATCGATCTTGGCTGTGCCATCGAGAAATGAGACGGACGATCTATGTCTATATGCTATATGAGCGAGACCTAGCTTTTGTTTCTAGTCGTCATCCAGCCTCGAGTCTCGCCGAGGATCCCAACCTTCCGGCGCCGCAGGCATGTCGCCCATAATGATTCCCCCCGGACCATCGTCATCGGAGTCATCATCATCGCTCGGTGGTGCTACGGCCTCGCCTCGCCTCGCGCTGGAGGCGGTGGCATAGGTTCGCCCGGATCCCGGTCGGCGAACGTCTGTGCCGCCTGTGACCCGAGCTTCGCCCCCTGACCGGCTATGCCGTCGGAGGAACTAAATGGGGGTATAATAACGTTCTTAACTTTCGTCTGTGCTGCAACGCACGCTTCGCGCATAGGGAAGTTAGGCTCTCGATCTGGCGCTGCGCCGTCTAGAATATTGCTGTAAACTTGATCGGACTTTTCAATTATCGGGCGCTTGCCTGCTGGCGTTCGCCCTGTGCTCATATTAAGTCCGCCAAGCTGTCTTAGCGGTGACGCGTAGCTCTCGGGCCCCACCATGCCCCCCGCTTTGTGTACATATCCGAAGTAAATCCCCGCGGCCATCGCCCCGCCAGTCTTGGCAATCCGAAACCGAGATTCGGGGGGGGGGGCACAAAGCGAATAGGGGGTCCAAATGGAAGGAGCGGCAGAGCAAACTCGTGTCCGAATCTTCGCTTCCATGACGAATCACCTTCGCCAGGGGTCCCTGCGTTGTAGCAGAGGCAAAAGTATCGGACGGCATGCGTCCAAAGGGGCGGGGCAAGGCCTGCCTGCATAAGCAGGGCTCGAGTCCCCATCTGAACAAGTCCATTGGACCGTCCACCAACAGCCCTGAGCTTCTTATTTCCAGGGATGGTAGAATCATGTGATCTTTAATTGCATGCACGCGCGTGCAAGTTCCCTTGCGCCATCTGTATAACAAGATTATAACATTTCTCCGGGGGCTTTGAGGTCAATCAAAAAGTACATACGTGAGCCGCAGATTTGTCGTGCACACCCGGCGCTGCTCGGAAACATGTTGCCCGGTCGCAAAAAGTCACACACGCGGTCTCATCGTGGAGCCCCCACGATAAGTCATCCATCGCAAGCCAGTGATCCACTGTGGTCAGGTGTCCGAACGTTGTGGGATTCGCATCTGGCCTAGGTACCTTCAGCTCTTTGTTGCACGCCTTTCGTTGTTGGCGCCTGATAGCCTTTGCCCAGTTACATACCGAGCAAAAAAAGTTCTTTGAAGTATGAGTTGGGGCGTCTCTCTGGTCTGTCTTGGGTCGGGCTGTTGCGGTGCCCACCGGGCCGCCCAGGACAGTGGCACAGGCACAACCAGGACAGCGCCAGGACAGCGCCAGGACAGCACCAGGACAGAGCCAGTACACCCGCCAGGACAGCGCCAGGACACCCCCAGGACAGCGCCAGGACAGCGCCAGGACAGCGCCAGGACAGCGACAGGACAGTGCCAGGACACACGCCAGGACAGCAACAGGACAGCGCCAGGACAGCGCCAGGACAGCGCCAGGACAGCGCCAGGACACCCGCCAGGACACCCGCCAGGACAGCGCCAGGACAGCGCCAGCACAGCGCCAGGACACCGCCAGGACACCGCCAGGACATCGCCAGGACACCCGCCAGGACACCGCCAGGACACCGTCAGGACACCCGCCAGGACAGCGCCAGCACAGCGCCAGGACAGCGCCATGACAGCGCCAGGACAGCGCCAGGACAGTGACAGGACACCCCCCAGGACAACGCCAGGACACCGCCAGGACAGCGTCGGGACAGCGCCAGCACAGCGCCATGACAGCGCCAGGACAGCGCCAGGACAGTGCCAGGACGCTCGCCAGGATAGCGCCAGGACAGCGATAGGACACCGCCAGGACAGCGCCAGTCCAGCGCCAGGACAGCGACAGGACAGCGCCAGGACAGCGCCAGGACAGCGCCAGGACAGCGCTGGAACAGTGCCAGGGCAGCGCCAGGACAGCGCCAGGACACCCGCCAGGACAGCGCCAGGTGACCCACCATGACAGCGTCAGGACAACGCCAGGGCAGCGCCAGGACAGCGCCAGGACACCCGCCGGGACAGCGCCAGGACAGCGCAACGACAGGGCCAGGACACCGCCAGGACACCCGCCAGCAGCGTGGGGGCCCGCCATTCCCCATCTCATCTCATCCACCCTCCCCCGCCGTCCCTCCTAGGCGCACAGGCGCTTCATAAACGTGCGCTCAACGATATCCCGGCTGGACCCGGACGGATTTTGCAGAAACTTGCAAAATCCGTCGGGCCCTTGATGCCCTGTCTGGCCCCTCATCATCATCAGCATCATCATCAGCATCATCATCATCATCATCATCATCATCATCATCATCATCATCATCATCATCATCATCATCATCATCATCATCAACCATATTCATCATCATCATCATCATCATCATCATCATCATCCCATATCAGCATCAGCATGCAGCATCAGGGCATTCAGCATCAGCATATCATCGTCATCATTCATCATCATAATCATCATCATCATCATCATCATCATCATCATCATCATCATCATCATCATCATCATCATCATCATCATCATCATCATCATCATCATCATCATCATCATCATCATCATCATCATCCGCAGTACCATCACGGAGGCTGACCAAGCGGTGTCCTGGCGCTGTCCTGGCGCTGTCCTGGCGGTGTCCTGGCGCTGTCTTGGTGCTGACCTGGCGCAGTCCGGGCGGTGTCCCGGCGGGTGTCCTGGCGGTGTCCTGGCGCTGTCCTGGCGCTGTCCTGGCGCTGTCCGGGCGCTGTCCTGGCGCTGTCCTGGCGTTGTCCTGGCGCCGTCCTGGCGCTGTCCTGGCGTTGTCCTGGCGCTGTCCTGGCGCTGTCCTGGCGCTGTCCTGGCGCTGTCCTGGCGCTGTCCTGGCGCTGTCCTGGCGCCGTCCTGGAACTGTCCTGGCGATGTCCTGGCGATGTCCTGGCGCTGTCCTGGCGGTGTCCTGCCGTTGCCCTGGCGTTGTCCTGGCGCTGTCCTGGCGGTGTCCTGGCGGGTGTCCTGGCGGTGTTATGGCAATGTCCTGGCGGGTGTCCTGGCGCTGTCATGGCGCTGTCCTGGCGCTGTCCTGGCGCCGTCCTGGCGCTGTCCTGGCGCTGTCCTGGCGCTGTCCTGGCGCTGTACTGGCGCTGTGCTGGCGCTGTCCCGTCGCCGTCCTGGCGCTGTCCTGGCGATTGTGCAGCGCCGGTCCTGGCGAGGTCCTGGCTGTTGTCCTGGCAGCGGTCCTGGCCGCTGTCCTGGCGCCGTCTGGGCGCTGTCCTGCGCTGTCCTGCGCTGTCCTGGCGCTGTCCTGGCGCTGTCCTGGCGATGTCATGGCGCTGTCCTGGCGCTGACCTGGCGCTGTCCCGGCGCTGTCCTGGCGCTGTCCTGGCGGGTGTCCTGGCGCTGTCCTGGCGCTGTCCTGGCGCTGTCCTGGCGCTGTCCTGGCGGTGTCCTGGCGGTGTCCTGGCGGTGTCCTGGCGGTGTCCTGGCGGTGTCCTGGCGCTGTCCTGGCGGGTGTCCTGTCACTGTCCTGGCGCTGTCCTGGCGCTGTCCTGGCGCCGCCCCGCGCCGCCTCAGTTTAAGCGAATGTATCACACCGGGCGGGGGTGGCTCCAAAAGACCCCCCGCCCGGTGTGATACATTCGCTTAAACTGAAATCGCCCCCTCACTTTTAGCGAATGTATCACACCGGGCGGGGGTGGCTCCAAAAGACCCCCCGCCCGGTGTGATACATTCGTTAAAACTGAAGCGGCGTCGTCAGTTTAAGCGAATGTATCACGCCGGGCGGGGGGGTCGTTTGGAGCCACCCCCGCCCGGTGTGATACATTCGCTTACACTGAGGCGGCGCGGGGCGGCGCCAGGACAGCGCCAGGGCAGCGCCAGGACAGCCGCCAGGACAGTGGCAGGACAGTGCCAGGACAGCGCCAGGACAGCCGCCAGGACAGCGCCAGGACAGCGCCAGGACAGCGCCAGGACAGCGCCAGGACAGCGCCAGGACAGCGCCAGGACAGCGCCACAGCGCCAGGACAGCGCCAGGACAGCGCCAGGACAGCGCCAGGACAGCGCCAGGACAGCGCCAGGACAGCGCCAGGACAGCGCCAGGACAGCGCCAGGACAGCGCCAGGACAGCGCCAGGACAGCGCTAGGACAGCGAGGACAGCGCCAGGACAGCGCCAGGACAGCGCCAGGACAGCGCCAGGACAGCGCCAGGACAACGTCAGGACATCCGCCAGGACAGTGCCAGGACAGCGCCAGGACAACCGCCAGGACAGCGCCAGGACAGCGCCAGGACACCCGCCAGGACACCCGCCAGGACAGCGTCAGGACAGCGCCAGGACAGCTCCAGGACAGCGCCAGGACAGCGCCAGGAAGGCGCCAGGACAGCGCCAGGACAGCGCCAGGACAGCGCCAGGACAGCGCCAGGACAGCGCCAGGACAGCGCCAAAACAGCGCCAGGACAGTGCCAGGACAGCGCCAGGACGGCGCCAGGACGGCGCAGGACAGCGCCAGGACAGCGCCAGGACAGCGCCAGGACAGCGCCAGGACAGCGCCAGTACAGCGCCAGGACAGCGCCAGGACAGCGCCAGGACGGCGACGGGACCACGATGAGACAGCGGTGGAACACCGCCAGGACACCGCCAGGACGACGCCCGGACGACGTTAGGGCATCGCCAGGGCAGCGCCCGGACGACGCCAGGACAGCGCCAGGACGACGCCAGGACGGCGCATGGATTGCGTCTGGGCGACGCCGGGACGACGACAGGACGGCGCTGGCGATGTCCTGGGGCTGTCCTGGCGCTGGCCTGGCGCAACCCTGGCGTTTTCCTGGCGGGTGTCCGGGCGGTGTCATGGCTCTGGCGTGGCGGGTCTCCTGGCGCTGTCCTGGCGCGGTCCTGGCGGGTGTCCTGGCGCTGTCTGGCCCGTATTGGAACCAGCGGCCAGATTGATGCCGGACGGAGTTTGCAGAAACTTGCAAAATCCGTCGGGCCCTTGAGGCCCTGTCTGGCCCCTCATCATCATCATCATCATCATCATCATCATCATCATCATCATCATCATCATCATCATCATCATCATCATCATCATCATCATCATCATCATCATCATCAATCATCATCATCATCATCATCATCATCATCATCATCATCCTCATCATCAGCATCATCATCATGCAACATCCGCAAGTCCGCGTCCACGGCTGGCCACAGCGGTGTCCCTGCGCTGTCCTGGGCTGTCCTGGCGCTGTCCTGTGGCTGTCCTGGCGCTTGTCCTGGCGCTGTCCTGGCGGATGTCCTGGCGCTGTCCTGGCGCTGTCCTGTCGCTGTCCTGGCGCCGTCCTGGCGATGGCCTGGAACTGTCCTGGCGATGTCCTGGCGCTGTCCTGGCGCTGTCCTGGCGCTGTCCTGGCGCTGTCCTGGCGCTGTCCTGGGCACAAGATGTCCTGGCGCTGTCCTGCGCTGTCCTGACGCTGTCCTAGCGCTGTCCTGTCCTAGCCGCTGTCCTGGCGTTGCTGTCCTGGCGTCTGTCCTGGCGGGGTCCGTCCGGCACGCTGTCCGGCGCTCTCCCCCTCTTGTCCACTGGCGCTGTTACTACAGAGGTAGGCGTTGCTGTTCCTGGCGCTGTCCTGGCGCGGTCCTGCGGGTGTCCTGGCCGGGTGTCATGGCGTGTGTCCTGGCGCTTGTCCTGGCGCGTCCTGGCGGCTCTGTCCTGGCGCTGTCCTGGCGTCATCCTGGCGGGTGTCCCGGCGCTGTCCTGGCGCTGTCCTGGCGCTGTCCTGGCGATGTCCTGGCGCTGTCCTGGCGCTGTCCTGGCGCTGTCCTGGCGCTGTCCTGGCGCTGTCCTGGCGATGTCCTGGCGCTGTCCTGGCGCTGTCGTGGTACTGTCCTGGCGCTGTCCTGGCGCTGTCCTGGCGCCGTCCTGGCGCTGTCCTGGCGCTGTCCTGGTGCTGTCCTGGCGCTGTCCTGGCGCTGTCCTGGCGGCTGTCCTGGCGCTGTCCTGGCGCCGTCCTGGCGCTGTCCTGGCGCTGTCCTGACGCTGTCCTGGCGCTGTCCTGGCGCTGTCCTGGCGCTGTCCTGGCGCTGTCCTGGCGCTGTCCTGGCGCTGTCCGGGTGGGTGTCCTGGCGCTGTCCTGGCGCTGTCCTGGCGTTGTCCTGGCGTTGTCCTGGTGCTGTCCTGGCGCTGTCCTGGTGGATGTCCTGGCGCTGTCCTGGCGCGGTGTTGGCCCGCCGGGCACGTTGGCTAATAACTAGCTCTAGAATCGCCCCAAAGTATGAGGTAGTAGGTGCGAGAGGGATGCTGCGCTTTTTTTGACTCGTTCAGTCGCTGAGACCGGCGCCTCAACCTCGGCATCAAGTGGTACGTCGATGCCAACGAGGCCAACACCACCCGAGCCCTCATCTGCATCCTCGTTTTGGCCGGGCGCAGCGACAATAGTGATAGAGTACAGTCCACGATCCACGCTGTAAGGCAAGACTCCCGAAACCCAATACATAAGGGCTCTAATTCACAGCCGCGCAAGCATCGGCTAAGCCGCGTCGCGGCGCAGTGCAAACGACGACTGAGTCGCGATTGGAGGCAATTGAAGGACTTGCCGAGCTCATGACGCCAGTGGGTGTTTTGCTCCATCCGTACTCATGAGCAGTCTGAAGCAATTAGTAGAAATAACTGACGGTATCCATGGAGTGTTACGCGACTCTGAATTGAGTGGGGCGGAGGACCTCCCGCATAATCCACATCATCCAGGAATTTCTTGGCTCCTGACGTCACGCAACACCACCGCTCGAGGGCCGCGGGCTTCCCGGCGGCGGCCGCGCGCATCCACTGGCCCAGCGCCTCTCTGCCAGATAGTGTCAAGTATGGTATCTTGCCCTCAACGGTCAGGTCTACTCTCTGACCGCTCGGCAGAAGTAAGCGGGGTCGCTGGCCAGCTGGCCATGCGAAACTGAAGCCGTGATCCACGCACCGCTCTCCTACAGAGGTCACCGCCGGTTTTTCCGGCATGACCAACGCTTCGAAGTTCCCATCCCAAGAGTTAGAGCATGCGACGCAAACTGAACCGAGGGCCCTCGCAGAACCTCCGGCAGTATTCAAGGTAATTGGATCGTCCAATCGTTTTATCATACCCATTGCGCCTGCAACCCGAACGAACCCCCTCAGCAATAAGAATTGTGTCCACAGCCGGTGTCGACTATGAACCGAAGCGTTCCAAAGTGTATGGACGCTCTCTCTCTCTCTCTCTCTCTCTCTCTCTCTCTCTCTCTCTCTCTCTCTCTCTCTCTCTCTCTCTCTCTCTCTCTTTCTCTGCACCCCGCGGCGGCTGAGCCGCCTGGGACAGCGCCCTCCTTTCCTTCAGACTCAAACCAAAGATGCCAAACTTCATCGGCTAAATCGGACGCTCGAAGCTGAGCACCACTTAGTGATGCCTTCCATTATGACTGCATGTTTCAGTTTTCTTGTCTGGGGAATGTCCATCTATCGTCTATGCTCGACGACGCTCTTTTGGGCTGTGGCGACGTTCCTTCCATCGAGTAACGGTGGGTCCCCGAGTCAAGGAGTGAGACTGCGCATTAAGTCAGTGCCGAGCCGCCTGCGCGTGCCCGACAACTTTTATGTCGGGGCTTGTCACTTGGAGCTTGTCACAAACATTGCGATGGCCTCCCCCAGAAGAGGATGCAGTTGAACGAGGATAGCGCTCTTGCTGCATTTCGGAAGCGGGAACAACACTCGGGAAAATTAAAAAAATCTCTGAACTATGCATCGCGTGACTCCACCGTTAACGGATGATCATCTGGATTACGTTGGAGGCCACGGGGCCCCTTAGCCAACGGAGCAGGGCACGCGAGATGGACTCGGCTGGCTGCGCCAAAGATCCTATGCTTGCACCTTCCGCGTCAGCTATGCCGAAGCGGGCGTCGTGACAACCGATCTATAATGTGAACGAGTATCAGCATGGAAAGAAAACAGCCGCGATGATCAACTTAGCACTGGCCGATAATGTGCCAATGCCCTGCGATTGTCGCGGGTGATTTGGCGTGTTCTTCGCAGACCAACAGTCCCTGCCACGAGAGCAGGCTCCTATTTCGGTGAACGCTTTGCACGGTTGATCTTTCCCTTTTCTCTTGCCTGTACCTTCTTGCTTGCCGCGGCCTTTACTCGAATCCCTGCTTCTCGGAGTATCCCCCGGCACAGCATCGGTCGCATATGCAGCGGCGGAGTCAGCTTGCCTGGTGGTTCTCTGGTAGCCCATAGACATACCAGCCTGTAGCTACGCCTCTTCGTATCTGTCCCGCTTGATCTTCTCGGCCTCAGTCAAGCCTCTCCGTGGCTTGTAACATCCGCTCTGAGGGCCCTTGCACTTGCGGGGATCGCGCGAGTATGCTTAGCACGCCATCTTGCTCTGACGTTCCCGCAAGGTCTCCGATTGACTTCTCGTCCGCGACAGCGTCGCATTCGAGTTGCCAAACTTATTTGACGGGGTCGAGGAGCGAGGTCTGTCCTTACCTTTCGGGCCCTTGCTCCCCGATCTCTCGCTCCTTCCTGTGCGGTCGTTCTCTCCGCCGGCTGCCCTCTGATCACTGCTCGCTCCAAGCTGGTCCGGCGCGGCTGGTGTCTTAGGCTTCTTATGATTATAAAGACAACCTTGTCCCGCTTCGGGGCAATTCTCCCCTTGCTTCACGAATTTGCAAGTCGCCTCACCCTTCGTCCGACCGCTTGCTGTTTTATCTGTAGGCAATCCCAACCTGTGTTGTTGCTGCCATAGCGGGGCCCGTCGCCCACCGCCAGCACCCTCACTCATTCCACCTGCAAGGCGAGCCTGCCTGTTTCTGGAACTGAGGGTTGATCCATGCTCAGATATTGCCCACTGTTCTCGATGACGCATCATGAGCGACTCGTTACAAAAGCCACTGGTAAGAACGCACTCCTGTGCGTGGAGGATCAGTCGACAGCTCATACCATTGCATTGCATAGTCAAGCCTCGGAACCTGTTTGATTTGCTAGAAGAAGTGCGCATGTTTCGAGGCCTTCATTTCATCCGACGGTTCTCTGGCGCCATACAGCTCTTGGTATCGTTCCATCCGTTCGCGATAGACATGGTACACATATTGGTTGGGCCTCTGTCGATCAATAGTTATTATGAAGAACTCGCGACGTATCCAGTGTTGTCCGCTTTCGGACCTGACAGTGTAACAAACACAGATGGCGCGAATGATTTCTCGGCCCGTGAGAAGATGCCCCATCAATCTGGTAAGAATGCTCCATGCGGTTGATGTGCACGAGAAATGACGCGCGCTGCACTGACAGTCTGGGGTTACGCTTCATATTGGCAAATGGTTCAAGCAAGTTTGCGGCGATCACCATGTCAAGGCGCATCAACGCCCCGGAGTCCCGAAGGCTTTTCTTCGGGATCTCAGGTTCCATTGCTTCAATTTTCTATGTTTTTGCCGCCTTAACATCATGCCATGACCTGGCGACTGCTCTAATGCAATGTTGCTTCCATCCCCGCAATGTCTGGGCTCTCGGGATGTCTAAGAGGTTTAGCTCTATATTGTTTCCACAACTTCTCCAATTTGCATCCACCGGACTGGCATTGAAGGGTATTTGCATCCATTCGGCCCTCCACCCCCATCTCCGTCTGGGCCTCCTCCGCCTCAAGGTCCCCCAGGGGGGCCCTTGGGTGGCTTTGGCTTGCCCGTCTCGTCATGCTGCACGGCTGCAATCATGCCGTTTCTGGGCGCAAAACTTCAATCATCTCTCTGGTCATCGTCATGTCCGCCTGGTTCTCCGCCTCCATCACCAGTCATCCTATTGCTACCGCCGAAGGCACCTGGCGTATTCGAACATTGGGAACGTTAGTTTGTTATTCAATAAAGGTAAAAACGAAAAACAATAAAACGGTAAGACAAAGGTAAAGAAACAAAAATACAAATTAAACGCATTAATCATGAGAATAATTAAAAAATAAAGGAATTTGACATAAAAAAATAAAAGGGAAAAAAAAATCAGTAACAAAAATTTAATTATCTTATTAAATTAATAAAAGGGAAAATAGTATATGGAATATATAATTAGCTGTCAAGGTGGCCCTGCAGATTCTCGTTGAACGGAACGTCCCCGGAACTCTTTCCCCCAACATACTCCTGCATCGGACCTTCATTAAGTGTCCGTGAGATTTCTCGGAGCCGTCGGAATGTATGTGATTTTGCGAGAGGAAGTGCGCGGGTGCAGAGGAGCTGCGAGTAGAGGCTATATTTGTTCAAAAGCATGTTTGTCGTATTTGAAATATCGGCATACCATCTACAGTCAGAAAAAAAAGACTTGTTTAAAAAATAGAATCACTCGCGCGCTCTTTACGCGCATCTTCGGGAACGTGCACCAGTGCGTCGGGCTGGGCGTCGGGCTGGGCGTCGGGCGCCGCCTTCACTCCGCCCTGATGACGCGGCGCTGGCAATTCGTCCTCATGTTGGCCTGGATCATCAAGTCGAAGTGGGATCTGGTACTCCGTCTGGTTCCACTGGTAGCTCACCGCGTTCTCCGTCTTGTTCGTCAGCCACTTCTGGTAAGCTTCTTTTTGCATAACAGCGAAAACTGATAGGTTTCTAATAACGTCAAAAGGGAGAGCATCATGACGCCCCAAAAGGGTCTGGGCACGATCCGGGGGAGGGTGCCGGGGATTTCTGTTTAGCCAACAGTTACACACTTCGTGGTCTTCGAAGTCCCAGAACTCCATTCCCGGGCCACATTCTTAATGCCCACAGCAAACTGTAAGCCACTTCGTGGTCTTCGAATTCCCAAAACTCCATTCCCGGGCCACATTTTGAATGCCCGGAGCCAACTGTAGGCCGCATCGTGCTCTTCGAGTTCCCATTCCCGGGCCACATTTTGAATGCCCGGAGCCAACTGTAGGCCAGTTCGTGGTCTTCGAGTTCCCAAAAACTCCATTCCTCTTGGCATGATTTTGAATGCCGGAAGCCAACTGTAGGGCCACTTCGTGTCCTTCGCGTTTCCCAAAAACTCCGCCCCGGTACCAATTTGAATGCTTGAGGCCAAGCTGATGCGTTAGCTGAGGCAGGCTGAGGCATAGGCAGGCTATAGGCGAGCCGAGGCTGAAGGCAGACTGAAGGCTGAGGCTGAGGCAGCCTGAAGGCTGAGGCCGAGGCAGCTGAAGGCGAGTCTGAGGGCTGGCAGGCTGAGGCTGAGGCAGGCTGAGGCTGGAGCTGAGGAGGATGCATGCGAGGCTTGAGCTGCGCTGAGGCTGACGCCGAGGCTGAAGGCAGACTGAAGCTGAGGCTGAAGCAGGCTGAGGCTGAGGCTGAGGCAGGCTGAGGCTGAGGCTGAGGCAGGCTGATGCTGAGGCAGGCTGAGCCTGAGGCTGAGGCTGATGCAGGCTGAGGCTGAGGCACGCTGAGGATGAGGCCGAGGCTGAAGGCAGACTGAGGCTGAGGCTGAAGCAGGCTGAGGCTGAGGCTGAGGCAGGCTGAGGCTGAGGCTGAGTCAGGCTGAGGCTGAGGCTGAGGCTGAGACTGAGGCTGAGGCAGGCTGAGGCTGAGGCAGACTGAGGCTGAGGCCGAGGCTGAAGGCAGACTGAGGCTGAGGCTGAAGCAGGCTGAGGCTGAGGCTGAGGCAGGCTGAGGCTGAGGCTGAGGCAGGCTAATGCTGAGGCAGGCTGAGGCTGAGGCGGATGAAGGCCGAGGCTGAAGCAGCCGAAGGCTGAGGCCGAGGCTGAAGGCAGACTGAGGCTGAGGCTGAAGCAGGCTGAGGCTGAGGCTGAGGCCGAGGCTGAGGCTGAGGCTGAGGCAGGCTGATGCTGAGGCAGGCTGAGGCTGAGGCTGAGGCTGATGCAGGCTGAGGCTGAGGCAGACTGAGGCTGAGGCCGAGGGTGAAGGCAGACTGGTATGCTGATCTGAAGCAGGCTGAGGCCCCCCTTTTTTGTTTTGGAGGGCCCCGGCCTTGAAAAAAAAAAGGCGGCTGATCGAGGCTGAGGCCAGGCTGACGCATGAGACAGGCTGAGGCTGCGGTCTGAGGCTCAATGGCAGGCTGAGGCTTGCGGCAAGGCTGAGGCTGACAGGCCGAGCTGAGTCAGATTGAGGCTGAGGCTGAGCAGGCTGAGGCTGAGGCTGAGGCAGGCTGAGGCGAGGCTGAGGCGGCTGAGCTGAGCAGGCTGAGGCTGAGGCAGGCTGATGCTGAGGCTGAAGGCAGGCTGAGGCCGAGGCTGAAGGCAGACTGAGGCTGAGGCTGAAGCAGGCTGAGGCTGATGCTGAGGCAGGCTGTGGCTGAGGCTGAGGCAGGCTGATGCTGAGGCAAGCTGTTGCTGAGGCTGAGGCTGATGCAGGGTGGGGCTGAGGCCGCCTGAGGCTGAGGCCGAGGCTGAAGGCAGACTGCTGTTGAGGCTGAAGCAGGCTGAGGCTGAGGCTGAGGCAGGCTGAGGCAGAGGCAGGCTGAGGCTGAGGCTGAAGCAGGCTGAGGCTGAGGCTGAGACTGCGACTGCCGTTGCCACTGCGACTGCCATTGCGAATGCGATTACGACTGCGAGAACAACAGAATTCTACAACAGGGTTCCCATCTGAATCTTAATGGGAATGCTTACAGGTATGCTCCTACACATCGCTGTTAAGTTGCTTCGCTGGTATAAATACGTGCGCGTGTGTGTGCGCGTGTGTGTATATGTATTGTTGTGTGGGTGAGTGTGTGTGTGCATGTTTGCCTGCTCCACCGAGACTGCGAGCTCCTGGGGGCACTGCTTCCAGATCTTCTCCTTCTCGTGCTCGATGAGCCACGCAACCTTCGGAGACGGGCTGGCCTCCTGGACGGCGTCGGTCTCTGCGACGGGGTCCATCGAGACGTCGGCCATGGCGAGGGGCTGAGCGACGGGCTGGGCGTCGGGCTGGAGGCGCCCGGGGGGGCACGAAAACTGGGTTCTTTATCGAACCAAACGGCCTGCGGATCACGATGGCGGCTTCCTGACACAGGGGGCCAGAGGAGGAACCCCACTCTTCACCCTCCCCATCCCCCTCATCACCTCCTCCTCCTCCTCCTCCTCCTCCTCCTCCTCCTCCTCCTCCTCCTCCTCCCCCCCCTCGCTATATCCTCCTCATCCCCGTCGTCATCTTCATCCCCCCCCCCTCCCCCCCTCCTCTTCCCCCACCAAATTTGCCTTCTCATCCTCGCGTTACCCTTTCTGCTCCGTGGCCCTTTGGCAGGAACGGGCATGTCCCAGGGTTCCAAAGTGAGGGGCAGATTTTACTTGGCGCCGATCACTTGCGCCGCGGTTGCTTGGCGCTGCGCCCGCGCATCGCGCCCCCCTCAGTGCTGGGGCGCGGCTTGGGCGCAGCCTTTGGCGGCGGCGGTGCCCCTGCTGCGGTGGCTGCTGGTGGCGATGTTGCTGCTGCTGCGCCGTTCCCTCGTGCGATGGCTGCTGGTGGCGCTGTTGCTGCTGCTGCGCCTTCTCCTCCTGCGGGTGCTGCTGGTGGCGCTGCTGCTGCGCCTTCTCCTCCTGCGGGTGCTGCTGGTGGCGCTGTTGCTGCGCCTTCTCCTCCTGCGGGTGTTGCTGGTGGCGCTGTTGTTGCTGCTGCGCCTTCTGCTGATGGCGCTGCTGCGTCTGCTGCTGCTGCAGCTGCCTCTGCTGCTGCTGATGGCGTCTCTGCGTCAACAGGCCGCGCCAAGCTACTCGCCGCACCAGGGGTCTCGCCCTCGCTGTCGGCGCCCTCCCCCTTCGCCATGGGCTTGTTTGGAATCGACCTCTGCAGCGCACCCGTCTTCTCCAGCTTCGCCTTCACGTGGGGGGCCCACTTCGGCTGCATCGCCCACGTCACCATCTCGCAGCTCGGGCTTCGCACATCGTCGCTGGTGCCGTTGTCTGATGACGATGGCGCCTCAGGTGGCGGTGCCGGTCCTCCACCTGGTGCTGCTGCCTGTGCTTCTCCAGCAGCTGGTTGTGCAGGTGCTGCAGCTGCAGCGGTGCCTCCTCCCTCAGCTGCTGGTTATGCTGGCGCCGCCGCGCCTTCTTCTGCTGTGGGTGCTGTTGCAACTTCTGCTGCTGCGGGTGCTGCTGCGTCTTCTCCTGCTGCGGCTGCTGTTGCGCCTGCTCCTGCCGTGCCCCCCGGCGGGTCTGCTGCGTCTGCTGCTGTGCCTGCTTCTGCCGCGCCCCCCGCTGCGGGTGCTGCTGGTGGCTCTGGTGGCCCTGGTGGCGCTGGTGGCTCTGGCGGGAACATCGAGATCGCCGCTGCTGCCCCTTCCGCGCGACGCGCGGCCATGAAACCGCCGCCCTCCTTGCCCCTCTCCTTCTTGCGCTGCCGCCACCTTGGCGCGAACGCAATCGAACCTCGAACAATCCCACAACAAAACACGCGATCAAATGCAGCGAGGAAACGTAAAACATACGTCGCCACACATAAGCCTCACGCGCCCCCTCCGTGGCCTCCTCTGCCAGACAGACAGACAGACAGACAGACAAGCCGCGCGCCAAGCGGCGCGTGGGCGCGAGCACAGGTGGAAAAACAGCGCGCTCTTATTCGGACAGCAGGGCGGGCCGACAAAGATACGCGGGCATGGCAAGGAACCGGGGCGGAAGGGAAAGCGAGGAGTCGAGGGGCGAGCGGGGCAGAGGGCGAGGGAGGACGACAGGAAAGGACAGACCGGGCCGACGGACGGACAGACGAGGAGACGGGGAAAGGAGGGGGGGCCAGGCGAGGAGACTGAGGGGGAGCACACCAGACACAAGGCAAGGAAACACAAAGGCAAGGGGGAAGGACGCGGAGAGAGAGAGGAGGGAGAAGGGGCGAGAGCCGAAGACGGGGCAAGGCAGGAAGAAGGGGCGCACAGGACCAGCTGGCTGGGCGCGCGCGTGGCTCTAATGGAAAACGCGCTGTCGGCATCGGCGCTCCCAGACCGCCGGGGTGCAGGCTGCCTGCGCCGCTGCTGTCGTGCTGCCGACGATGCGCGCTGCGTGCTTGGACATTAACTTTGGGCGCCCGACATAGGTGCCGAAAAAATGGGTACGATGCCCAACGACAAATGTTGTCCCAAACCAACAGCGGCCGCTGTTGGGCAGGCGGCCTCCTGTCTCCAATGGACACAGGCCGCGGCGGCGTGGACTGCGAGGCCTGTTCAAAATGAACAAGAACTGCTGTTGGGAATCGTGCCCATTCTTTCCGTGCCCATCTCGTTCGTGCAGATTTACGGAACGAGCTCCTTGCGCGGGCGGCCCACTCGCCTCGCGTGCCTCTCCGTGGCCGGCCTCGTGCCGGCGGCGAAAGAACAGTCTTAGAGTGGATGGGCAGGATCGGCGCGAAGCACTTGGCCGACAAGTTATAGCTGTCTGAACGATAAATGTGTGCTGGCCGCCTCATATCCTGCTCTCGTAAGGACGTCCCGGTTGGAAATGCGCGATAGGTACGACGGCTTCACCCCGATGATCGCGCGCAAGCATCTGTTTTGAAATCCGTCGAGAAGACGCAGCTGCGCTTTCGTGAAGCACGCGCTGCTGAGCCCGCGCAGCAGCTTCGATTCGACGATGGAAGCATAACTGCGGAGCTTGCGGTTCCAAGTCAGAGATGAATGGGACCACGCCTTGCGCAGAGCCGTGAACGATCGTCGGGCTACCCCTGTTGTTTCTGCCCAGCTCGTGGCTCATGTTCGCGTCAGCCGTGAGCTGCGCGCAGCTGAAGCACGCGGGGCACTTGCAATATCTCCTCTGCCAGGAAGCCACTAGACAAAGCGACCACTTCTGCGTCCCCTCGCGGCCTCCTCTGGGAGGAAGCCACAAGCGATTTCTTGAAGACATACAATCCAACGCAAAAGGTCACGCGACGTGCCGCGGCCCCCTCTGACAGGGCGCCGCCGATGGGGGCGCGCTGAGGAGCCCGCTCGTCCTTCTTCCTCTCGGATGCTCCAATTATTTATTCGTTTTTTTTTTTGGGGGGGGGCGGCTGCGGGAGCTTCGCCTGCGCCCAGGTGGTGCGGGCTCTCTGCTGGCGTTGGTCGGGCGCGCAAATGCCATGGCCGAGGAACGTCATCTGCTTGCAATTGTAGCACCTCCTCGGCGTGGCTAGCAGCCCCCTCGGCATGGCCGCGATCGGTGGGCCCTCCTCCTCCTCCTCCTCCTCTTCCTCGCCCTCGCCCTCCTCCTCTTCGTCGGCGTCGATCGGGCGGCCGCCGCTCCGGGCGCGGAAGCCGCCGCCGCGGCCTGGGGGGCCGCCGCCGCCGCCTGCTGGCGCCGCCATCATTGCCTGGGGGAGCTTATGGTTTTTCCCCTCGTAATATTTATCCCCCATTTATCCCCCCCCCCCCCCCCCCCCCTCGTCACTTCCCTCTCTTGGATGATCAGGCATATAATATATACTATATATATTATACTACTATATATATATAATATATATAAGAGGTTTGGGGACCGGGTTGCTGTGCGATGGCAACTCTGGAGGTTTCCATTGCGCGTCTGAGTGGTTCTCTAAACCCGCCATGGAGCCTCTGGGCCTGCATGCGCACGCGCCTCGGGGGCCTTCCCAAAGCAGGGGGGCCCGGAAACTCTGCCCACCAACGCGCCCTGGCCGCGCTGGGAGAAGAGCCGCGCCGCGCGCGCCAGGAGCGCCGTGGAAGCGGGCATGGCTGCGCGAGCGGCCGCGCCCGGAAGACGCAGGTTCTCGAGCGCCGAGAGGCTTGGGCCGAGACGGCTGCCTCTGGAATAGCGCGCAGCACGACGACGGGGAGATGGGTGCCTCCTCTGTAAGGAAGTGCCTGGAAACGCGCCTCACCCCCACCCTCATCTGCCACGAAGGCGCGCGCCCTCCACTGTCAGGAATGGGCGCATTGCAGGGGCGGCGCCCACGGGGAGAGAACGACGGTCGGAGAAGAGCGACAGGGAGACGCAACGATAGCAATAATGACAATTCTTTTGCACTGCTGAGACGGATGGCATAACATTAGCGAGGGTATTCATGATGGCCCTGATGATGATGACACGCAATAAGAATGGCAATCGCAATGCCAACAAACAATAATGACAACAAAACGCGATCAGGAGAGGAAGGATATAGGATGAGGAAGGGGACTAGGATGAGAACGGGGAAGATGAGGAGCGAGGGCGTTTTCTGCCTTCCTAATCCCCGTAGCCTGCGGCATGGCGCAACGCCTGATGACTCCCCGCACGCATGTGTTCCCGTTCGCTCTACGCGCCTGAGTTCGCATGCCTAGTGCACGGAAGAGTAATTGCCGCACCTAACACGCAGGATCAAGCCGATCGCACCATACTCGTAATTGTATCATGGCGCCCCGGCGACATCTCCTATCCGTCCTTACAGATCACTTCTTGCCGTGCTCCTCGAAAAATGACTTCTTCCTCCCGGCGCAAGCCGCGCCTGCTGCGATCTTTGCCCGCAACGGCAGTCGTCTTCTGCCGGGGCGCTGTGTGCACGCGCCAATGTAATGCATTAAATCATGCACACGATATGTGGATATATGTATAAAACATACATATAAACACACTATATATATACACCGTTGTGTATAAATGTACGTGCCCTTTCGAAAAAAACGCGCCTGGCAGTCGGCGCGGCCCTCGGCCAAGAGCTTCTAGCGCTCTGCGCGCCAGATCTTGCTGCGCTCGCGCTTCCACATATTCTTGATATCATCCTGCCCCCCCCCCTCCCCGTCCGCCCACTCCGTATCAATCAGCTTCGCGTCCCATAGCCCTCTCCCTGCCCACCTCGTCGAATGGCGGCGCTGCTGCGGGCCTGCCCTTCTTCGCGGCTTTATGCCGCGTGTTTTCCGTCTCCGCCTTCTTGGCCTTGGCCGCGGGCGTCGCCCCCTCCTTCTTGGCCTCGTCTTTCCGAGCCTGCAACGCCGCGCTCTTCTGCGCGCACTTGCGCGGGTCGACTGGGGAGAACGACATGGCACACTGGAATATGTACTCTTCTTCATCATTGGCATCGGCCTTTTTCTTCCCCACATCCTGAGTGGGGTTCTTGTTTTCCCAGAACACCCTCTCCTTCCCACCCGCCCCCCGCTCCATCTTCCACACAGCGCAATATTATTCCTACCGCACACACCATGCCATACCATAGTTCCTACCACACATACAATACCATACCATACCACACCATACGTACCATACCGTACCATACCATACCATGGCGTACCATAGCAACATATGGCTGCGCAGGTTCCCATCCACACCGTCACCATATACAATACCCATACCTCCAGTACATCCTACCAGTATCATACCATACCGTATACCATAACCATACCTAACCATTTGAGGGACCATTCCATACCACTCCATACCGAAAACCATACTACTGACTTGGTTTCGTGCCCCTCCCACCCCTCCAGGGAGGCCCCGCCTGAGCGAGAAGGGCATCGGAAAACCATACTATTCACATGGTTTCGCGCCCCTCCCACCCCTCCAGGGAGGCCCCGCCTGAGCGAGGAGCGCATCCGAAAACCATACTATTTACATGGTTTCGCGCCTCTCCCACCTCTCCAGGGAGGCCCCGCCTGAGCGAGGGGGGTATTCGAAAACGATATTATTTATATGGTGTCGTGCCCCTCCCACCCCTGCAGGGGGGCCCTGCCTGAGCGAGGGGGGTATTCGAAAACCATGCTGTTTACATGGTTTCGTGCCCCATCCCACCTCTCCAGGGATGCAAAACCATATTATTTACATGGTTTCGTGCCCCTCCCACACCTCCACGGAGGCCCCGCCTGAGCGAGGAGGGTATCCGAAAACCATACTATTCACATTGTTTCGTGCCCCATCCCACCTCTCCAGGGAGGCAAAACCATATGATTTACATGGTTTCGTGCCCCTCCCACACCTCCAGGAAGGCCCCGCCTGAGCGAGGAGGGTATCGGAAAAACATAATATTTACATGGTTTCGTGCCCCTCCCACCTCTCCAGGGAGGCCCCGCCTGAGCGAGGAGGGCATCTGAAAACTATACTATTTACATGGTTTCGCGCCCCTCCCACCCCTGCAGGGAGGCCCCGCCTGAGCGAGGAGGGTTTCCGAAAACCATACTATTTTCATGGTTTCGTGCCCCTCCCACCCCTGCAGGGAGGCCCCGCCTGAGCGAGGAGGGCATCCGAAAACCATGCGATTTACATGGTTTCGCGCCCCTCCCACCTCTCCAGTGAGGCACCGCCTGAGCGAGGAGGGCATCCGAAAACCATATGATTTACATGGTTTCGTGCCCCTCCCACCCCTCCAGGGAGGCCCCGCCTGAGCAAGGGGGGCACCGGAAAACCATACTATTGAAATATGGTTGTGCGCCCCTGCCACCCTTCCAGGGAGGCCCCGCCTGAGCGAGGAGGGCATCCGAAAACCATACTATTTACATGGTTTCGTGCCCCTTCCCACCCCTCCAGGGAGGCCCCGCCTGAGCGAGGATGGCATGGGAAAACCATACTATTTACATGGTTGTGCGCCCCTGCCACCCCTCCAGGGAGGCCCCGCCTGAGCGAGGAGGGTATCCGAAAACCATACTATTTACATGGCGGTTTCGTGCCCCCCCTCCACTCCTCCAGAGAGGCCGCGCTTGAACGAGGAGGGCCGCGGAAAGCATTACTCATCGCCAGGTTTCGTAGCCCTCCCCCCTTCCAGCGGGGCCCCGCCAAAGCGAGGAGGGCATCAAGAAAATGTGCCCCACGAAACCGTTAATCTCTTTATGCGGTGAATTCCGTTAGCATAATTTTTGGGAGACCCCTCCTGCTTCTTGCGGGTGCCCTGCACCCGCGCCACGGGCATGCCCTCTTCTGGCTCTTCGGCAATGTGCGAGGGGAAGATGCCGAAATCGCCCGAGGGGCGCCGCCGACGGGGGTGGCACGCGCCGAGCTCGATGCTAAATATTGGAGTTGCCTAAAAAAAGTGGAGAGCTGCCCGAAGGCAGCCATGCGCCCAAACGCCTGGGCCCCTGCTCGGCTGGCCCCTCCCCCCAAATCCACCGCTCTTGCTGAACGCCCCATGTCTGCTTCAATCTTCAATTTCCGGCGCCTAAATTAGCAGTCGCGAACTCCAGAATACGTAGAGATGGACCGCCGCCACACCTCCCCGACCTCTTCCTTGCACCGCGTGGTGCGCCGTGGCAATATGTCCCACTCAGGACTTCCCAATCCCGCCCTCCCCCCCCCCCCCCCCCCCCCCCCTCAGCACGTCCTGAATCTTGGTGTCCAAATACACATCGCGATATTGCTTCCCCATAATCCTCTAGGGGGCAGCGCGCCACCTGTCCTCTGTCAGGAAGGGGGCCCGACATTAAATTTGCTGACAGATTGCCACTTGGGAAACCATAGAATGATTGTTGTGCCCTCCAAGTCTTGATGTACCAGGCAGCGCCGTTGCAGAAGTGCGCATCGTCGTTCTCTGCGAAATTCAATCTTACCCGTGATATTCATATTCGCTATAAAACGCTACCTCACATCAACTTCTTCTTTATCTTAAACCAAACCGACCCCCGATCTCATCTTCGTGAACAAGGCCTCCCGCAATTTCGCCCTCGGGAGCATGGGGTTCGGGCAGTTCTCCACGAAGCGACCGTGCATCTGGGTATAGAAAGCGAGGAGTCTCAACCTCGGGCGCGGTCTTCTCCGCCGCCGTCGGGCGTTTTTTTTTTTTTTTTTTTTTTTTGTGTTTTGCCCCCCTTCCCCCCCCCTTCTTTCTCTTTTTGTACCGTTGTATGCCGAGTCATCTCGCCCCCCCACCCCTCTGCCCCCTCCCCCCCCCCCCGCCCCCCCCGCGGCACACGACGCGCACGCACGCTCAAACTGCAGCGACGCAACACAACGTACACACACACACACACACACACACACACACACACACACACACACACACACACACACTTGTGATGAGTTTCGTTCAATATCACGTATTGCTCAAGTTACTTGCCGTCGTCCCCTCCTCCAGCTGTGGCCGTCAGTAGAGATCGACGAACTTTTCATCGGGCGATCGTGTGAACTGCACCTGCGGTGGCGGAGGGCCGAGAATCTCTGCGGCCCTGAGGCCTTGAGCGGCGCCCTAAACCCTCCGTCAGCGGAGGCTCGAGATGAAAAGCTATGGCGCGTGCGAGGCGGACTGGAGGGCAACTAAAGAGAGCATGCATATAGACAACCTGAAATCTAGCTACGCACATAAACTAAAGGGCATGCATACAGACAACCTGAAATCTAGCTACGCACATACTGCATGTGTGGCTGGCCCCAAGACATCCCCTAGCTCGCAGGAGCCGAAAATGATGTCTCAATTGATTGTCAGAATTGAAACGCACACACACAACCCGTCCAATCAGGTCCAGGGGAGGAAAAAGACAGCTGCGACAGTACTCAAGCCTCAGACGTAAAGCAGAGGCTATCACACACCTGCAACAGGCATCACTCAGAAGATAACGAAGAGGAGAGGCATGATAGGCATTGGGTTCACGGGTCTAGTGATGGAGCCATGCACAGAGCCCCACCAGGACAGGCTGCACCACCGCCGCGAACCAGGCCCATTTCTCACGATCACCGTACGCGGGGAGGTCCAGCATATGTGGGGTCTCAGCGTTTGGGTCAGGAACACCAAAGGTACCCGTCAACAGAGAACTAGCCCACGATCCAAGTCCTGGCCACGT